GTTGGGCTGGCAGGGGAGCCAGCTGGGGTGGAGTGAGGCAGTGGAGGTAGCCAGCTGGGGGTAGAGATAGAGGTGGAGTGGGGGAGGAAAAGGTGGAGGCGGATGAGCAGCTGTGTTTATTTTAATACATATCATTTAACCCTCACCTTAAAACAAATTGGAGAGGTTTGGGAGTGCATTAATCTGGACCCAATTAGCATGCCTTGCTTCTTCAAAAGTGCAACCTGAAATTAATGAATATAAACTAGAGTTTCAGATGCAGTGCTTACATCATTTGCATGTTTCATGCATGATAATTGAATTTATGTATGCACTTCCTTCCATTTAACTATTTCCAGTCTCCCTGTGATTCACACAAACCAAGGTTTCATTATAGCAACCTCTAGGTGGACATAGCTTGCTCAGATTTTACTCCCTTAGAGAAATTCACATTTGTGGGGGCTTTTCTAAATTTTGAATTTGAATCAATTTTTTTTTTTTTTTTAGAAGCAGGGAGCAGTACTTACTAGTCTGGAATGCTGTTTCAGGAGTTGGTCGATAGGTACTTCAAGCTTATTTTTGAAAAGTCAGAGAACCCACGAGGACTACGGCATTGAGTTTTTATTGGTCCTAGAGAGCCGGTTTCAGTATGTCCACTTCTAAGTGTCTCGATAAAACTAAGAGCAAGGTCACTTGAAGGTTGCGTAAAGGGTGCTCTTGGAATTTGAGCCTGAGTTATTAGATCACCCAGAGACTTCCTGGCACACGACTGTTTCTGGAAGTAGTCAGATACTTGTTTCCATAGAGGGGTGGGGATGATGTCAGCCCCCCTGAAAGGTACTAGATGAGCAATTTTGGTCCCTTGTGGTCCCTTGGGATGCTGTAGATTTGTTCTTTTTTCCTTTCCTTTTTGTCATCTAGGTGTAAAAGGCTTTATGCTTACATAGTGCAAGCAGGTGCTAAACTCACCCCTCTCCCCCTGCCCCAAGGTGAAGCATCTAAAAGTGGGCAGTGGGCACACAAGAAAGCTTCTTGGGAGAGAAGTTGAGGCAAGATGCTTGAAACAATTCCCTTGGTTTTAGTTTGTGCTAGTGCTTTGTCTGTCTTCTGTCTTTCCTTATGTGTTTCCAAGTTCAATGTCAAAGTGAAGAGCTTTTCTCCAAGAATTCTCCCCAGTGTCCTCTGTTTTCGGTGAATTCAATGGTTGAATGTTGCTGAGTGTTTCCTGGTCTTGTTTCCTGGTCCTCGTAGCTAAGAATGTCATTGAAGGATAAAATCTTGTTAATTTGTGATGTCACAACTTGTGTGCTTCCTGTCACTTGTGTGCAGTTTAAAATGTTCCTTAATGTAGCATGAAATGATTGGTTAGCTTTGAAATGGTTGTGAAGTCATGTGAAGAAAATAAGTTTTGCATCCGACCAAGATAAATTCACTCTAGTGCTTTATGGCTTTTTATTCCTATGTGATAGTAATAAAGTCTCATGTAGGGATGGAAGCCATGAAATACATTGTGAAAAATCATCAAGAAGGGTCCATCAGTATAGAAAATGTTAGTCTGTGGCACTGTGAACGTGATGGAGAAATGACGTAGTGTGTAGCCCTGCTGTGTGCTTGGTGTTACTTGAGTTTCTTTATCCTTTGATTTGGACAGCTAAGGAATCTAGGCTACAAGAGTCGATTCATTTTCGTAATCATTGATTAACATGCACATTCAACTTTGCACATTTTTGTTTATCATACATTTCTCCCTTTTTCTACGAATGACCATACTCTAGGGGGACTTTAACAGCCCATTTCAGTAGGCAACATTTAATCCTTCTATGCCTTTTTCTGCCAACTGTTGAGGTCTTTCTTCTGAAAGAAAGAAGAAATAGACCAATCAGACTTGTCCTCTTGGAAATGTGGTCCAGATTTCTCTACTCCCAAGCTCCAAAAAAGGTATACTTTGCATGGGCTAGATCAACACCTTCTGAGATCCATAAACCCACTGAGAGTCCTTTTCCACTTGAAGGTGTGGTGTAGTGGAGAGACACCTGATAGAGGGAAGAAGAAGAAGTCTGGACTGGAGTCGGAATATAATCCCTCTGCCACTTCAACTCTCTGCCTTGGGGCAAGTGATTTAAACTCTATGAGCTTCTTTCCTCTACTTTAAAAATGGGAGAATGAAAATCCACCCTGCAAGGCGGTTGGGAGGATTAAGTGAAGTAATGCATATCTGCTTAACAAAGTATTTAACAATTATTATTTAAAAACTCATGAAATATTAGTTTTTTTTCCTTCCTTCCCTCTCCTCCTTCTCCCTTCTCTCTCCCTCCTGTTTCCTCCCCATCCTTCAGATATTAGTCTAAAACAGCACCTTTGGATCTAAGCAACACCTTCGAGAAAGAAAAGACTTCTTCAAGAATGTCTTGTTGCACCTCCTTTCCGTATGGGGATTAAATGACTGGGTTGGACCAGTAGTTTAATTTTGTTTAACTTGAACTGTTTAACCTTAACTATTGACCTATCTGCATTTTTACTGATTCTGTATATTTATTTTTGCATGAACTGTTCTAATATTGACTATTGACCTATACTCTTTTTACTGGTCTTCTGTACTTGTTTGATAGAGACAATTCTAATAAAAATTATTTGTGTTATCTTTGGCCTATTTCCTTTACATCGAGAGATTTTATTCTGTTCTTTCAAGCTATCTAGACTGCCTGCCCTAAAAGGATAAATCATACCTTCAGAAATTACCCACTTATGGCACAAAGAGAACATATCACCCTTCCTTCCTACATTTTTTCTGCTTATCAGTGTATTTGGGAAAATTGTCAATTTAGTTATGACTTTGATGTCTTTTAAAAGATATGATGTCATATCTTTTAAATATATAAAATTTAGAATTTCACAGTATTACTAGTCTTTGGAACAACTGTCCATCAGCAAAAGGACTTTTAAAGTACATAAGCACTGAAACTTTTTAAAATTGCAGTATAATGTAAGTGCCTTGTAATAAAACAAAGACTAAAATGACATCGGGTGATACCACATTTGGGTCCAAAAATCTTTTATTATGATTGCATTTGTCTTTTAAATCTTATACTTAACCCTGTATCTCCAGTTCCTAGTAGTGATTTAGGAGATATTCAAATATATGTGGATAAGTGAGTGTGAAAAGAAGACAAGATAAAGACGAGGGAGGAAAGGAAAAGAGAGAACAAATAAAGAAAATGGTGATATCCCTATGGGAAATATATTTTATATTTAGGGAAGTAGAGCAAATATGAGCCCACTGTAAAATAAGAGTTTAAGTTGACAGTAGATAATATGAGGTCACTTGAGATAAAATGCATATGAATGGCATAGGCAAAATCTGTAGGGATCTGTAGCAAGGGAAGCTCCTGAGAATCAGGGAGCAATCCCTGTCAGAACATAACACACCATCCAAATTTCCACAGGTAAGAGTCAAAGATTTGAAAATGAATTTGTCAAGGAATTCACATAAAACTGAGTGATACTTGGATTTTTTTTTTTCCGAAAGCACTATTCTACCCTGGAAAATAGACTTGTAAATATTTTCACATCTACCAAGGAAAGCAGAAAGAAGATTTTAATGGACACATTTATGTAGATTAATTAATTGCTGCTGAGTCTCAGTGAGCTACAAGTAGCTATTACTCACGTGGGCAGGATGAGTCTAAACTGCCAGCCAGTCCATGATTTCAAAGGCGGCCATAAATTCGCTCTGTTTCCTCCTTTTACTCCTGTGTGGTTGACCTTAAATTCCAAGCTGATGTAACACCAGGGGTAACTTAGGTGAAAGGAGTATCTTCAGGAAAGGATGAGCATCTCTCAATAAACATTGGCCTTTTTAGGGTTATGGCTGGCTGTAACCCTCACAGGGTGACCCTGAGAAAAATGCTGCAATGCGCAGCGATATCACTCAGCAAGTGAACGGGCCAATGTCTCCATCTTGCCAGTGGACGTGGCATAGCAGGAAACCCACATGTGAGGATAGAGTGAAGTGTTTCATGCTGTGCCCTTGCTAGAAATTCCTCTTGAGTTACACTGGATTAGTGAATGGGAGGTAATAGCTACTGGGTCTAAGTTTGGGCTGTGTAAGAAAAACCACACATTGTTCAGCACAGTCGTATTCCAAAATGGTGCCACAGAGTTGGCATTGTGATGCCTCCTAAGGAGATGAAATAGAGATCAGAATTCTCTCATTTGTTGAGTGATACCATAAACGCTGAATCCAAGATTCAATTAGCAAAACTTGATCTTTCAGTTACTGTTGGGCCTCACCAAGTAGATGTACACTCTGAGTTGTCTTTGCACTGGTGGAATGGACTCAGGCTGAGTGACCCATGCTCTCTCTCTCCTACCTTTATCACCAGTGTCACCTGAATCTGCATGTAAGGCTTACATGAAATGAGACTCAACTGGTAGCTGTGGATCAAAGTGGGACCTACACAGGAGAGCCGAGCCCAGAAAGTCTACGTGTGTTCAGTAATATGACACTGGTTCCTATCCTTCAGGTTTTCTACCTCTCTAAACCATTTCTTAGAATGAGATGTTCCAAGGATAGTCACTCCCCAGAAGGCTGCCCCAGGCCCCGTTTTTATAGATTAGAATATCCTTGGAATCAAAACGCTGGTGGCAAAAGGGTGGAGTGGAATAAGGTCTGAGAATACTTCTCGTCATTCTGCCGGATGGCCCTTCTCTGCCCACCTTCCATAAGAGAAACTCCTAGACCTTGGGCAACCCAGAGATGGAGGGCAGTGACACCAGGTCTCTTTACTTTGTCTCTGCCTTTAGTCCTTATCATGAAGAATTTTTTAAAAATGGTTGGAATATATTACCCTCATAATACATTGCTTCATTCCATTTACTTTTTCCCCTTCAATATTTAATTAACCATTATAACAACAACAACAACAACAAATAAACTAAACAAAAACAACTTTCTCCAAAGAGATTAAAAAAATATCCTGGGAGTATGTTTTAGCAACTCATTGGTAGTCCAAAATTAGGTTACAGGAGGAGGGATCAATAAGTATTGATTAAATAATTGCTTACTTCATTTAAAGTCTTCCTAGGGACCCATAAGGCTCATTCGGCCTGTGTTTACTTCATCTTTCTGATCTCATCTCCTGTCACTTTCACTCAGCTCATCCACAACAGCCTCACTGATCTGGAGTTATTCCATGAATACATCAAATGGGTTCTTATTCAGAGCCTTGGAAACGGCTATTCCCTCTACCTAGACCACACTCAGACATCAACCAATCTCACTCTCGCACTGCCTCTGCTCAAGTATCTTAAATCAATAAGACTTGCCCTCACTTTCCTCTACTAAATCATGTATCCTCCTCCAGACTCCCACCACTTTACCCTGATTGGTTTTTCTCCATAGGTAGATAGTGGTTTTCACCATCTGTTTTGTGTTGAAGAATTATCCTACCTCACTAGAACATCAGCTCCAGGAGGACAGGGCATCGATCTGCTTCTTTTGTTAGCTTTGTCCCCAGAGTCTGGAATTGTGTGTGCATTCAAATATTTGTTGATTGAAGTTGATGCATGTCTGATACTTCCTGGCATTCACGTATCAAGATACTGACATTATATATCATCACAACAAGGAGTCACTTCATTTCCCGCCAAATGAATGAGTTATTGGTTCACCACAATCTCCATGTGAAACACAAGCTTTGTTTTTTCTAATTTCTCTTTTTTACAAATAATGCTTCAATACATCTTTTGACCGTCGATTATTATCCCTATTCTTCTTCAGAATAAATTCTTAGTGGTGGGAAAATTGCATCAGAAGTTATAGCTCCTCATATATTTATGACCAGGTCTCTTTCCAGGCATAATATACCAATCCACTGTCCTAGCAGAAGGTAAATGTCAGAATGGTCTCTGTGTGACTTTTTAAAAATTAGCGTTATGCTGACTTCTAAAAAGTTAACTAGATTTTTCTTGCTGTCTTCATTCTTGTGCTTTTTCCTTCTGGGAGGTTGGTCAATTTGTGCTATTTTCATTTGCTTTTTGATTTTGAACCTAGATTTCTGGGAGGAAAGAAATTATTTAAGAAATTGAAGGAAGATAAGACTTGTTTTCTAATATGTCTGTTCTACATAGGAGGAAATATAAATGTAACCACCGTACTAGTTGCTGACAAAAGCAAGACTTTGAACTCCTTTCAGTTAGTACCCCAGTATATGTGAAAACCATGAATCAGCTGTCAGAAATTACAGTAAACCATGATGCCACTTAAGTACCACTGTGTAGCTGATCTTTATCAAAGTGAATGTGAAATTACCCATGGAGCAATCTCTCAATGTTGAGAGATTAGATACAGTTACGGCCTACAGGACATACTTTCAAGTTGTACTACCTGTTCTGTTGACTCTGTAAACTTGTTCTTGGATCCTTTGTTTATCTTTGTCTCTCTTGCACAATTAGCCTCCTTCACATTTTTCTTCTTTCCAAATTTCATAAAATTATAAGGCAACCAAGAAACTAGGAGGGCTTATTTATTTATTTATTTTTGGAACCGGGGATCAAGCTCGGGTCCTTCCTCTTATGAAGCAGGCAGCAGAACCACTGAGCTAAATCCCCGGCCCTGTTGCATCTTTTTAATACAAATAAAACAACTACATCATCTTCTTATTAAGAAAGGGGTTTTGTGCTTCTCTGGTGCCAACATCAAATTGTCATTTGAAGATATTGCAGGAGTGTTTTGTTTAGTTTGGGGTTTGTGGAATGCTGGGGATTGAAACCTAAGCCTCACACCATGCAAGGCCAGTGCTCTAGCATTGAGTTACATCCCCAGCCTTACGATCTACTATTCCAATCTGAATGTATAGTCATACATCTTTGAATACATATCAACATTTGTCTTAACTGATAAGCACATATAATCTCTCATTGCTCTGTAAAGGAAAACACTTTAATAAGAAACTCAAATATATATTTTGTTCTTTCTTTGAAATCCTTATAACTGGTCCTGTTTTTCTTTTCTTTTCTTTTCTCTTCACATGCCTTCTTAAGATTTCTCTTTACATAAGGTGTTCTTGTTTTACTCATGAATTGAACTATTATGAGAATGTCATAACTGAAAGTCAGATGGCGGCTAACGTCCTTGGTAAAGAAGAACAATAAACAGGGCTCTGTCTATCTGCAGACAGATTTTGAGAGATGAATCAGGTGACTGCTTAAATGGGACACTTATTTCTGATTTTAAAAATAAAACTTTAGTATGTGAATCTGTCTTTACTTGAGTGCCCACTGTAAATATAGGAGATCTAAAACTCTAACTAAAGAGAATACAACATGGTTTTCTGATAGGCCTTAATGTCTTTAAAGGAAATGTAAGAGCTCAGTAGAATAAATGAGTCAAATTGACAGGTGCTCAAAGGAAACTACAACAAATGATTCCATAGCTGCTCACTGTGGTCACAGGTACAGATGAACATGTGTAAGTGTTCTCATCTGTTTTAGGGCCCCCAAATTACTTTAAGTTCAGGAGCAGAAAGATACAAGTCTTACCTGAACAAAACACAGATTTACTAAACACTGAATATGATTTTTTTGAAACAAATTTTTTCACAGTAA